CGGCACACAGCTGATCTGGAGAGGGTGCACGGTGATATTGGGGCGCCCATGCGTCTTGCACTCCCATACCGGCAACGTGAGCCTGCCCACCACGCCGAGCGGCCCATAAAACACAGCTGCCTGGCTGCCCGTCTTGTGCAACTCACAGCAGCTGCCATTTTCTGCTGCTAAGTGGCAAGGAAGCGGCTCCATGCTGGCCAGCTGGGCTTGCCGCTGCTGGAGCTGCTGCTGGCGCTCCTGCCGCTGCTGCGCCGCCCGGCCCGGCAGAGAGGCCAAGAAGGCATCCACGTCCGCTCCGAGCCGAGCCTCCCAGTGATCACGTTTGCGTCCTTGCCGGTCGCCCCAGCCTAAGAAGCCGCTGGGTGCTCGCTCATCCTCGTTGTCATCCCTCTCACCCCGCCGCCTGGCCTGCCCTGGCACATTGAAGGGAGCTTGTTGTCCTGGTCTACTTGCACGGGATCTTTTTGGCTGTGGCCCGTCTAGAGGCCTGGGGGCCGTGGTCTTGCTAACCACCTTCACCCTAAAGTGGTGGCTCATGTCCTAGAAAGCATATTACGGTTGCTGGGATGCCAACAGAACAAACGGGAGGGAGAATGATGCATGATTGAGGATGATGTCCCCAATGACCCTCCAGGTGGGGGGCCATCATGCCCATCATGGGGCACATCCTTACCGGGAGGCCTACCTGAAGCTGGTGTTCAATTGTTCAATGTGAAATTGTCAATTGAACACCTGCCTAGGCAAATGGAATGCAGAAATCGATTTGGTAAACAGAAATGTTTGTCAGCACCGCCTTACGTCACCCAGGCCCGCTCAGCGGCGCCGCCGGCGGCCACGACCAGCCGTCCTCACGCACCGCCTGCATGGGAACCTCACGCACCGCGGCCCTCCACCCAAACAACAACTACGACCTCAGAAACGAGGGCCCATCTGCCCGCACAGTGCCGCTCAGCATTATCAGCGCGTGTCAGCAGCTTCCCAAAAAACTTTTCCAAGCGCATAATCACCTATTTTTCACCCTAACACCCGCACCGGCGCATCCCGGCTCGCCATGAGCAATCTGTCCAACACAAGAGAACAACCACAGCCCACAGCATCGGTTTGCCCCGGCGCCGGCCGCCCCAAACGGGCGCGAGCGGCGAAACGGCCGGCACCCGGGTCCTCGGGGGCAAAATAATACACCGGTAGCTTCCGCCCTCCCCAGCCCCGCCTCCACAGACCCTCGGCGGCGTCCCTGCCCCCGGCATCCCACCCAGGGCCAACCTCGCGGCCCACAGGCGGCGGCAGCGGCCGCCGCCGAGCGCCGAGCAGCGAGAACCGGCAATTGGAAAGTCGGCTTCCATTCCTATGCCAATGTCTCCCTTTTTAAAAAAGTGAGACAAAAAGGGGGGCAGGGGAAAGCGGCATACACCACGAAAATTACATTTGCATTCGGCGTGGACTGAGAGAGCTTGTGAGGTAGCTGCTCAACTCTTCGCTCTCCATCATCAGGTGCGGTCCCCCATCCTCGCCACCTGCAACGCACACGCAGAGTGGTCTCCGCAAAACGATCTTAGAACGGGGGGGCTCGAGGGGAAAATTGGCGTGTCCAGGCACAGGCGCACAAACCAGGTGCCCCCTCACCTGACTGCTGCAGTTGGTCCGGCCCGTTCGGCTGCTGCCCCAAACCCGTCAGCGAAGGCACCTCTTGCAGTGCCTCCTCCACAATTGAGTGCACCTGCGCCGTGCAGTGCAGCCAAAAATTATGGAAATTGGATTTCGCAATGCTTTTTTGGCCTGACCTGACCTACAAGACAAACAAAGGGCGGCACTCCAGTTGAATACTCGCACCTCGGCCAGCATCTCCGCCGTAGGCTGGTTCGCCAGGCTCTCCTGCACAATGGCGTCGTTAAAATTCAGTGCGCCTGGCTCCAGGCCCTGCATGAACCAGGGATGCGCCTGGATATCCTGCAGCAGGCGCGGGCAGAAGTGGAGGTAGGAGCCAGATCAGAAACAGGCCGGCACTGGAGGCAAGCATAAGGGGCGCCCTCTCGTGCCGTGGCGTGCAGCGCAGGGCTGACTTTCATGGTAGAAGCACAGCATCACTGCCCAGCGCCTCACATGCAGCGAGGGGCGCAGTGCTGGGTCCTGCACCAAGATGCGGCTGATCAGGTCCTTCACGCCATCACTGCAGGCATGCCAAGTTGACAGCCGGCAAGCAACACGTGGGCTGGAAGGGCGAACGGCCTGTGGCAGTTGGCCAGGCCCAAACGAGTTGCCTGCCCCACCTCAGCGGCTTGTCTGGTGGGAAGGAGAACTCCGCCTTCATGGTGCGTTCCATCATGCGAGACAGCCGGCGCATGGGGTCCAGCGCTGCATCGCTTGGCATCCTGCACACGACAGGCAAGCATGTGGGCTGGCGGAGCAGGCAGAAGGGCAGCTGTGAACCGACGGCATGGCCGGCACGCCCCCCCGCAATCCCACTCACCCAAATGGATACCGTCCAACCACCATCACATAGAGCAGTACACCGCAGGACCAAATGTCCACTTTCTGCAGGCAGTGTCGCCAGCCAAGCTTACTGGAAGGATTGGAGTCGGTGACTGGCCAATGCACATTACCAGAAGTGCATGCTGAAATACGGAGCTATGAACCGCAAGCAAGGTGCTGTCCCTGGACTACTACTAGGGAGGAAACCGGAACGGCCACACCGCCCCACCGCGCCCCCTCCTTCACCTGTGCATCATAGCTCTTGCCCGGCTGCGCCGCAATCACCTCCGGTGCCAGGTAGGCGGGCGTGCCCACCCGCGTCTTGGCCTCGCTCTGCTGCTTGGGATCCTTGCTGAACCCAAAATCAGCCAGCTGCAGGAAGCATTATCCGGAACAGGCAGTTGCAGGGGAAAAGCATTTTTTTGAACCACGACTGTCATGCACTGGCCAGGTGTGGGCAGTCCGTGCCCCTGTGTCACCCACCTTGATCAGCGGCCACTGGCCGCCATCCAACAGCGTGTTCTCCAACTTGATGTCCCGGCTCGTTACTCCCTGCATTAACCAATCAGAGCATTAGCGCAGAGCAGGAACGAGTGATGCAGAAAGCGTAATGCTGGTCTGACCCCGGCAGCTGCAGCCTCAATAGAGAACCGCAGCCCAACTGTGGACGCCGCACCATGCGGTGGCAGTAGTCCACTGCTACCATGAGCTGCTGAAAAAACCAGCGTGCCTCGTCCTCAGGCAGCCCCCGCCGCGCCGACACGTAGCGGAACAGGTCGCCGCCCGCCGCATACTCCATTGCCAGCACCAGGTGTGTTTTTGTCAGGAACACCTGCAGTCATAACCGCTGTTCTTTATGGCAAGCAGCCCGCATTAAAACAAGCACTGCCATGCGTGGCAAGCAGCACAAACAAACACAACATGGCACAGCATGCAATGCAATGCCCAGAAACTGAAAACCATCCCTGGCGCACCTCATGCAGCGCAATGATGTGTGGATGCCTTAACCGCATGTGGTTGGCTATCTGCAAACAAACATGTCGATAGTCAATGCCGGCAAGCGCACCCATGTGGTACAGCAATTTCAAGCTTTACAGGAGAAAGCAATGCCACGTCGGAAGTAGGGGGCTTGGGTGTCTGGTGAGAAAGCTGAACAACTCACCTCTCTATCAACATACTTGGTGATGTGCTGCGGGCCCCGCTTGATGAACTTCAAAGCCACCTGCTCGCCGGTCTGATTGTCAAGAGCCAGAATCACAAACCCATACGCACCCCTGTTGAGGAACCGTATCTGCACCACGGGGCATGTCAGCAAGGTGGATGGGCCGTTGCCGCACAATTTCTCATCGAATAGGCCTCCATAAACGCTCACACTCCAGCAATAATCCTTGCGCACCTGCTTGTAACGCGGGTGCCCCTCCAAGTAGTCGTCCACTTCGGCCGCCTGCTGGTCCTCGCGAGGAGCGGGCTGCAGGTGGACGGCACCCCAGTGAAGCGCTCGCGGGCGCGTCCCCGCTGGCCCTTTTCAACCCATCCAGGCTTGCATAGGGGTTAAAGAGGCCCACGGAAGCCGCCGCGGCGCGCCGACCAGGAGCTGGCTTGCCCAAGCCCACCCACCAGCCCACTCACCATAGCATAGTTGGCGTGGCCTCCCATGAGGTCGTCTGGTGGGGGGTCTTGCGGCTGCCCCGGCTGCATAGCGGAACGAACCAGAACACAAGGGCAGGGAGTTGGACGTGTCTGTCGCAGCTGCAGCAACTGGTTGCGCGAAGCACGAGAGACCACCAACGCAGAGCCCACTGCAGTTGTACTGCCTGCTGACATGGCGCCGGCGCGCGGCGGGTCTGACAGGAAAAGGATGGCTGGGCCAGTTTTGTGGTTGGAGCAGGTACATGAGGTACGGGGGGGCAACGAAGAGGAGGAGCAGAGACCAAGTGGAGCGCCGGTCCGCATGGCGTCGCAGCGGCCGAAAGTAAGCGAGGCAGACAGGAGAACAATAGCAAAGATGTAGCAGCATGGGGACAAAAAGCAGGAAGCATGGGGGCCGGCTGGCCAGGGGGTGCAGGGCCAGCACGAGGCACAGAGCGTGAGCCGACGGCTCCATACTGACGCACGACTGCGGGTAGGATGGTGAATGCTATGCTCCCCATTCGTCAAAGGAGGACTCAATCTCCGCGTCCATAGTGTCATCTATGTAGTCATCCTATTGTACGGCCAGGGAAGCAGATGAGCGGCTGTTGAGGCATTCATGCCGGGTTGCCAAAGCGGACAGAATGAGGCAGAGTGTGCAGCAGAAAGAGATCACGTGCATAAAAATGCACAGATGCTATGGAGGCAGGAGTACACGTGCTAGCAGGCGACTGGCGCACCTCCCAGCCTGGCGGGTTCATAGCGCTGCTCTTCTGCGCCTCCTGCACAACAGCCCGAATCTCCGCCTCTGTCTGCAGGCAAGAGAAACATTGGTTGGGGTATGGTCACGCAGCGTAGCTGAAAAAAAATGATACCTGCAGAGGCTGCAGTGCCCCAATACCAGCACAGCCCAATACCAGCGATCTCGGTACGTGCCTGGCTGCCTGCAGGCGGCATTCGCATGTTGTCGTTCATCTCCTTCACCCCCGGCGGCAAGTCCTTCATGTACCAGGGGTGGTCCTGGATCTCGTGGATGGTAATGCGCTTGGAAGGGTCTGAAGGGAGACCACCACGCACAAACAAGAGGGGTGGGCAAGCAGGGCGGTAGGGTCATGTCCCTGCGCGCGGAACCCAGCTGCTGCTCCCATGCCCGCCAGCTCACCTGCCACCAGGATGCGCGACATGAGGTCCCGGCACTCTGGACTCAGCTTGATGTGAGCTGGCCAGTCGTATTCAACACGCAATATCCGCTGCAGCCAGGGGGAGCAGCACACAGGAGGTGATGCGAGCGGCAAGGATCCAACAACACCTCACGCCATCCCCTGCAAACCCCACCCCACCATGCACACCTGAATCATCTTCTGCAGCTTCTGGTTGTCATGCTTGTCCTCTGGCCGCTCAAAGGGGTAGGCACCCACAAGCATGACATACAGCATGACACCGCAGGACCAGATGTCTGCGACCTGCGGTAGGGGTTGTGGAGGGAATGTGAGGATGGGAAACCCAAGATTGCCCTCATTTAAGTCCCGCTCACCTTGCCGTCGTACGTCTTGCCCTTTGTGGTCATGATGACCTCTGGCGCCAAGTATGCGGGTGTGCCAACCCGGCTCCCCGGTGCGCTCTGGTACTTCTCATGCTTGGAGTAGCCAAAATCGCAGATCTGCTTATGGGCGTCAGAGGAGGCAAAAGGTAGCCTCCATGAGGCAGGGGCAGGTGTGTGTGGCAAGGCAAATGCGAGATGGTTCACGGCAAGCGTGCCATTGCTCACTAACAGCAGCCAATTCAACCTTGATCAGCGGCCGCGGGCTGCCATCCAGCAGCGTGTTCTCTAGCTTGATGTCTCGGTTGGCTACGCCCTGAAGCACAGGACAGAGCGACGTACGCAGCCAAGCAGCACCAAAAAAATCAACTCCAGAGCGCTGCCAGCTTCCAGGCAACACGTGGCGACAAAATGCTGGACAGCCTGCGCCACAACCTGCTGCTGGCCCCCTTCATCCCGGCCTGCACCTGGCTGGCAAACGCACCATTCTGTGAATGTAGTCCACCGCCACGATGAGCTGCTGGAAGAACCAGCGCGCCTCGCTCTCCCGCAGCCCCCCCTTGCGCACAACGTACTCGAACATGTCGCCCCCCGCCGCATACTCCATTGCGATGCTCAGGTGCTGCTGCGTCAGAAACACCTGCGCCCAGGTTGTGGCAGCAGTGGCCTGGATGGGTGAGCTCCATACAGTTGCCTCCGGGGCACCCACCACACATCGCCACCCGTCCAGCCACGTCTTGTGCCCGGCCATGACGCAGCCACAAGCCGTGTAGCGCTGGGCTGCTACCCCACCTCCTTGAACTGGATGATATGCGGGTGAACCAACTGCCTGTGGTTGATGATTTCTCGCTCCACATACTTTGTTACCTGCGCAGGCAAAAAGAAGTCTGCTAGGCTCGACGATGGGCGGCGGGAGGCGGGGGGGGGGGGGGGGGGGAT